ACAAGATGAAAAGGCAGAGGGCTATGTACCAGATGAAGGAACAAGATAAAACAACTAAATGAAGTGGAGATAGGCAACCTTCCAGAAAAAGAATTCAGAATAATGATAGTGAAGATGATCCAGGACCTTGGAAACAGAATAGAGGTAAAGATCGAGAAGATGCAAGAAATGTTTAACAAAGACCTAGAAGAATTAAAGAACAAACAGAGATGAACAGTACAATATCTGCAATGAAAACTACACTACAAGGAATCAACAGCAGAATAACTGAGGCAGAGGAACGGATAAGTGACCTGGAAGACAGAATGGTGGAATTCACTGCTGTGGAACAGAATAAAGAAAAAAGAATGAAAAGAAATGAAGACAGCCTAAGAGACCTCTGGGACACCATTAAACTCAACAACATTCACATTATAGGGGTCCCAGAAGGAGAAGAGAGAGAGAAAGGACCCGAGAAAATATTTAAAGAGATATAGTCGAAAATTTCCCTAACATGGGAAAGGAAATAGCCACCCAAGTCCAGGAAGCACAGAGAGTCCCACACGATAAACCCAAGGAGAAACATGCTGAGACACATAATAAACAAATTGACAAAAAATAAAGACAAAGAAAAATCACTGAAAGCAGCAAGGGAAAATTGACAAATAACATACAAGGGAACTCCCATAAGGTTAACAGCTGATTTCTCAGCAGAAACTCTACAAGCCAGAAGGGAGTGGCATGATATACTTAAAGTGATGAAAGGGAAGAACCTACAACCCAAATTACACTACCTGGCAAGGATCTCATTCAGATTCAATGGAGAAATCAAAAGCTTCAAAGACAAGCAAAAGATAAGAGGATTCAGCACCACAAAACCAGCTCTACAACAAATGCTAAAGGAACTTCTCTAAGTGGGAAATACAAGAGAAGAAAAGGACCTAAAAAAACAAACCCAAAACAATTAAGAAAATGGTCATAGGAACATATGTATCGATAATTACCCTAAAGGTGAAAGGATTAAATGCTCCAACCAAAAGACAGGCTTGCTGAAAGGACAGAAAAACAAGACCCATATATATGCTGTCTACAAGAGATGCACTTCAGACCTAGGGACACATACAGACTGAAAATGAGGGGATGGAAAAAGATATTCCATGCAAATGGAAATCAAAAGAAAGCTGGAGTAGCAATACTCATATCAGATAAAATAGACTTTAAAATAAAGAATGTTACAAGAGACAAGGAAGGACACTACATAACCATCAGGGCATCAATCCAAGGAGAAGATATAACAATTATAAATATATATGCACCCAACATAGGAGCACCTCAATACATAAGGCAACTGCTAACAGCTATAAAAGAGGAAATCAACAGTAACAAATTGATAGTGGGGGACTTTAACACCTCACTTAAACTAATGGACAGATCATCCAAAATGAAAATAAATAAGGAAATAGAAGCTTTAAATGACACAACAGAACAATAGATTTAATCGATATTTATAGGACATTCCATCCAAAAACAGCAGCTTACACTTTCTTCTCAAGAGCACATGGAACATTCTCCAGGATAGATCACATCTTGGGTCACAAATCAAGCCTCAGTAAATTTAAGAAAATTGAAATCATATCAAGCATCTTTTCTGACCACAATACTATGAGATTAGAAATCAATTACAGGGAAAAAAACATAAAAAACACAAACACATGGAGGCTAAACAATACGTTACTAAATAACCAAGTGATCAGTGAAGAAATCAAAGACGAAATCAAAAACTACCTAGAGACAAACGCCAATGAAAACACGACGATCCAAAACCTATGGGATGCAGCAAAAGCAGTTCTAAGAGGGAAGTTTGTAGCTTTACAAGGCTACCCCATAAAACAAGAAAAATCTCAAATAAATAATGTAAGCTCACACCTAAAGGAACTACAGAAAGAAGAACAAACAAAACCCAAAGCTAGCAGAAGGAAAGAAATCATAAAGATCAGAGCACAAAAAAATGAAATAGAAACAAAGAAAACAATAGCAAAGATCAGTAAAACTAAAAGCTGGTTCTTTGAGAAGATAAACAAAATCGATAAAGCATTAGCCAGACTCATCAAGAAAAAGAGGGAGAGGACTGAAATCAATTAAATTAGAAATGAAAAAAAAGTTACAACAGACACCGCAGAACTACAAAGCATCCTAACAGACTACTACAAGCAATGCTATGCCAATAAAATGGACATCCTGGAAGAAATGGACAATTCTTAGAAAGGTATAACCTTCCAAGACTGAACAAGGAAGATATAGAAAATATGAACAGACCAATCACAAGTAATGAAATTGAAACTGTGATTAAAAATCTTCCAACAAACAGAAGTCCAGGACCAGATGGCTTCACAGGTGAATTCTATCAAACATTTAGAGAAGAGCTAACATGCATCCTTCTCAAACTCTTCCAAAACACTGCGGAGGAAGGAACACTCCCAAACTCAATCTATGAGGGCACCATCACCCTGACACCAAAACCAGACAAAGATACTACAAAAAAGAAAATTACAGACCAATATCACCAATGAATATAGATGCAAAAATCCTCAACAAAATACCAGCAAACAGAAAACAACAACACATTAAAAGGATCATACACCATGATCAAGTGGGGTTTTTCCCAGGGATGCAAGGATTCTTCAATATATGCAAATCAATCAATGTGGTACACCATATTAACAAACTGAAGGATGAAAACCATATAATCATCTCAGTAGATGCAGAAAAACCTTTTGACAAAATTCTACACTCATTTATGACAAAAACTGTCCAGAAAGTGGGCATAGGGGGAACCTACCCAAACATAATAAAGGCCATATACAACAAGCCCACAGCAAACATCATTCTCAATGGTGAAAAACTGAAAGCATTTCCTCCAAGATCAGGAACAAGACAAGGATGTCCACTCTCACCACTACTATTCAACATAGTTTTGGAAGTCCTAGTCATGGCAGTCAGAGAAGAAAAAGAAATAAAAGGAATCCAAATTGGAAAAGAAGAATTAAAACTGTCACTGTTTGCAGATGACATGATACTATACATAGAGAATCCTAAAGATGCTACCAGAAAACTACTAGAGCTAATCAATGAATCCGGTAAAGTAGCAGGATACAAAATTGATGCACAGAAATATCTTGCATTCCTATACACTAACGACAAAAATCTGAAAGAGAAATTAAGGAAACACTTCCATTTACCACTGCAACGAAAAGAATAAAATACCTAGGAATAAACCTACCTAAGGAGACAAAAGACCTGTATGCAGAAAACTATAAGCCAATGATGAAAGAAATTAAAGGAGACACAAACAGATGGAGAGATATACCATGTTCTTAGGTTGGAAGAATCAATATTGTGAAAATGACAATACTACCCAAAGCAATCTACAGATTCAGTGCCATCCCTATCAAACTACCAATGGCATTTTTCACAGAACTAGAACAAAACATTTTACAATTTCTATGGAGACACAAAAGACCCCGAAGAGCCAAAGCAGTCTTGAGGGAAAAAAGCGGCGCTGGAGGAATCAGACTCCCTGACTTCAGACTATACTACAAAGCTACAGTAATCAAGACTATATGGTACTGTCAGTAAAACAGAAATATAGATCAATGGAAAGAGATAGAAAGCCCACAGATAAACCCAAGCACCTATGGTTACGCAATCTATGACAAAGGAGGCAAGACTCTACAATGGAGAAAAGACAGTCTCTTCAATAAGTGGTGCTGGGAAAACTGGACAGCTACATGTAAAAGAATGAAAATAGAACACTCCATAACACCATACACAAAAATAAACTCAAAATGGATTAGAGACCTAAACGTAAGACCAGACACTATAAATCTCTTAGAGGAAAACATAGGTGAACACTCTTTGACATAAATCACAGCAAGATCTTTTTTGATCCACCTCCTAGAGTAATGGAAATAGAAACAAAAATAAACAAATGGGACTTAATGAAACTTAAAAGCTTTTGCACAGCAAAGGAAAGCATAAAGAAGACGAAAAGACAACCCTCAGAATGGGAGAAAATATTTACAAATGAATCAGCGGACAAAGGATTAATATCCAAAATATATAAACAGCTCATGCAGCTCAATATTAAAAAAAACAAACAACCCAATCCAGAAATGGGCAGAAGACCTAAACAGACATTTCTCAAAAGAAGACATTAAGATGGCTAAGAAGCACATTGAAAGCTGCTCAACATCACTAATTATTAGAGAAATGCAAATCAAAACTACAGTGAGGTATCACCTCACACCAGTTAGAATGGGCATCATCAGAAAATCTACAAACAACAAATGCTGGAGAGGGTGTGGAAAAAGGGAGCCCTCTTGCACTGTTGGTGGGATACAGCCACTATGGAGAACTGTATGGAGGTTCCTTAAAAAACTAAAAATAGAATTACCATATGACCTTGCAATTCTACTACTGGGCATATACCCAGAGAAAACCATAATTCAAAGAGACACAGCCACCCCAATGTTCATTGCAGCACTATTTACAATAGCCAGGTCATGGAAGCAACCTAAATGCCCAATGACAGACGAATGGATAAAGAAGATGTGGTACATATATACGATGGAATATTACTCAGCCATGAAAAGGAATGAAATTGGGTTATTTGTTGAGACATGGATGCCTCTAGAGACTGTCATACAGAGTGAAGTAAGTCAGAAAGAGAAAAACAAATGTAGTATATTAACGCATATATGTGGAAGCTAGAAAAATAGTACAGATGAACCGGTTCACAGGGCAGAAATTGAGACACAGATGCAGAGAACAAATGTATGGACATCAAGGGGGGAAAGCGGCGGGGGGTGGTGGTGGTGGTGGGATGAACTGGGAGATTGGGATTGATGTGTATACACTGAGGTATATAAAATGGATGACTAATAAGAACCTGCTGTATAAAAAAATAAATAAAATAAAATAAAATAAATACCTTATCACAGTCATAGAACCTTAATACTTACCACATTACTGCATGTTCTATATCGGATATTTCTTCCCTCACAGCTCCTAGAAAAAAAAAAAAAAAAAAAACTCATTACTACCTATGAAGGGCCCAAAATTTGAACTGTTTTGTTACAAAAACCATTTCTTCTCAGTACCAATATAAAAGCCTCTCTTTTCTTCTGAGTATGCTCTTAGAGGAATTACTATCAAATGTTAAATTGAGCAGATCTCAAGGAGTTGTATACATAAATTGATTTCTCTATGAGGGTTGAAACTAAGCATTCATTTTGCTTCAAAAGTTGTCAAAGTACGTACTTGTAATGAGATCTTATTTAATCAAATAGATTTAATGCAAGGTTTTCTGATAAATATTAATATTAAATGAATCCTCTGTTAATTATCTCTGGTATAAAACTAAAGATAGGTTTCACTAATATGATAGATCTTACATTTAGAATACGATAAAAATTGGACTCAACATGGCTTTTAAAATTACACATCTAAGAATATGAAAGTCATAATTCTTAAAGAATTATCTTCATTTCTAAAGTACATCCTCATTGTGGAGGTTTTAGAAAAGAAAGATGACGCAAAAGAACAAAAATCCCCCATAGTTGTCTCATCTAAAGATAATCACTATTATTTTGATTTATTAATTTCTTTCCGATGCAGAGGAAATAACATCACTTATACAATTTTATAGCTTGCTTTTTTTCCACGTAAAAATTTTTGGAGTTATTTTTCCACACTACTAAATAACTTTAAAGACATCATTTTGAGAGCTACAATCTATTCCATCAAATGATATAACTTGTGTAATCATTCTTCCATTTCTTGTCATTTAAGTAGTTTCTAATTTGGGGTTTGATAAGTGATCATGTGATAAACCATGTCCATGCGTATGTTTCATCCAAGTTTCTGACTATGACTTTAGGAGAGCTAAGTTTCTAGAAAGGGAATTACAGCACTAAAGGGAAAGAACTTCTATAAGGCTCTTGATAAATATTGCCAAATTGCATTCCATAAAGGTTGTACCATTGCATTCTCCCACCAGCAATATATGGGAGTTTCCATTTTATGGAACTCTTGTGAACAAAAACAATCAATTTTTTATTAAGTGTTCAATGATGACATTTAAGAACAGCAGTACTCTGCTCTTTCAAAATAAGTCACACTTATAAAAAAACAAGTAAAATATGAAATTCTGAGAGAATTATCATACTAATAACTAATAGTTATGGAATTCCAGGTATATTTCTAAGTTTGTTATATGTATTAATTTATTTACTCTTCTCAAGAACACTGGGAGACAGGGTACTATCATTATACCCATTTTACAGAAGAGAAAATGTAAGAGAAAATGTAAGCTTAGGGAGGTTAAGTAACTTGCCAAAATCACACAACTATTAAGTAATAGAGCTGAGATTTGAAACTGAGCCATTCAGAGCTTACACTCATAACCATGCTTTACTGCCCCCTAATTCACTTGTTTGTTCAGCACACGCCCATTGAGCTCCTATTATATACTGGGCAATACATTTACTTCTGGGAATACAAAGAAGAATGAGCATGACTTGGTCTTCGCTACTAAGAAAATATTCATATAATTCAGTGTAAAAAAAGCTAGATAGTATTTGTGTTAGGTCTCAAGAACGTCATCAAAAAGAAACTGTCACCTGAAAATACAATTACACAAAGGCTATCTTAGAGAGATAGAAAGGTCCCAGTCTTGAAGACTTGACTGTAACCAACTGTACTCAACAGTAGAATGTAACAAAGGAAAAAAAGGGCTGGCCAGAATCATAGAAAAAAAGGAGAATGGAAGAGATACTAGGTTGCCAGTGCCCAGCCCAGCAATGTCCCAGGCTAAGGGCCAATGAACTTCATGTCCTCCTGATCCCCTTGGCTAGGCTGTGGCTATCACAGTCCAGATGCCTCACACTAACCTAGCTGATGCCAGTGAATTTTTTGCTCATCCCAGAAATATCCCTCATTACAATGCCATGTTGATCAAAGCAATTTGCCAAGAGTGGTCTGTTTTTACATGACTGCTAAGAGGCAGAGGCACTGGTCATGCTGACATGGGAATGGTCCATGTTATGGACAGTTCTACTTCTCACTGTAAGTTAATAAATTGGCATTTTAACTTGAAATATTAACCTCACGGGCCAAGTCATTGCAAGTCCACCTCCAAGAGAAGGATTTGTTCTTGGTGTGACTGCTGAAAAATATCAGGTTTCTGAGTTTAAAAAGATGAGAGCTAGGCTCCAGTTGATGGTAAATTTACAAGGTAATTAATGCTATGACCTGGACGCCTTTGGTAGCATGCCATGTATACATCAGTGTTGGCTGAATGTGATATGTTTTTCAATTTTGGAATTCCTAGTGCATATGTGACATACTGTAATGGTTAAGAGTACCCAGTTTGACAGCAGAACCTTCTTTCTGGAATCCTGATTCCTTAGTTTCTATACCTCAGTTTTGTCATCTTTAAAATGGGATAATATTGCTTATCTCCTGGGATTATTATGAGGAGTAACTGAGTTAATATTTGTGAAGCACTTCAAACAGTGCCTCACACATAGTAAGCATTATATAGACATTTAACAAATAAATTAATTATATAATAGATGTAAAAATATAACAGATATTAAAAGAGGGTGAAGGATATGTGGAGAAGAAACCATAGGCAAAGGCATAGAGGAATGAAAAGATATGGTGTGTTTGTACATTTTCAAGTGGTTTGGTTGTGTAGTTTTGGGTGTATGTGGGGAACTGAAAAGAGATTAAAAAAAAGCCTTCTAACTGTGAACTTTGCAATAGGCAGAGGGGAACCACTGAAGGTTTTAAAACATAGGAGATCCAATGATGACTTCTTGCCTTAAAAAAGTGAACTCTGGCATTAATCATGAAGACCTTAAAATGCTATGTTTTTCACCCTCCTTTTATTTTCTTTTCCTAACCTTATCTCCCTGAAAGGAATAATGGAAACACATCTGAATTAGGAGTTTGACAATCTGAGTCATAGACTTTGCTCTTCCCCTTGCGTAAGCCTCTTGTCCTCTCAGGGTTTTTGCTTCCTCATCTGTCAACTGGATATCACTGTATACGGAAACGGCAGTGCCTAAAGTTGCGATCACCAACTGAGATAACTCACAAAAGTTCTATCCAAACGTCAATGGGGTTATTAGAGATAATGCTTACTAAAAAAATTAAAAAGCAGAAAAACATCTAGTTCAATAATTTAAATGAGCCTTTTCCCAGATATTTTAAACTATGAATACCTACTACGTATGTTCTAAAAGCATCCTTGAGATGGACCTAGAGATGATCATACTAAGTGAAGTAAGTCAAATAAATACAAATAGTATATAATAGCACTTATATATGGAATCTAAAAAAATAATATAATTAAACTTATTTACAAAACAGAAACAGAGTCACAAATATAGAAAACAAACTTATGGTTACCAAAGGGGAAATGCGGGGGAGGACAAATTAGGAGTTTGGGATTAACATATACACACTACTATATATAAAATAGATAAACAACAAGGATTTACTGTATAGCACAGGGAACTATATTCAGTAGCTTGTAATAACCTACAATGGAAAAAAATCTGTAAAAGAATACATATATATAGATAGATAGATACAGATATCTGAATCACTTTGATGTATGCCTGAAACTAACATAATATTGTAAATCAACTATAGTTCAATAATTTAAAAAAAGCATCCTTGGGTAACAGGAAAAGTAAGCATATAATGTAAAAGATTGAATTAAATGCTTCTCATTTAGCAAAAACAAAACAAAAACAAACGGCGGTGGGGGAGGAGAGGGGTTCCCACACTAGGAGGGGCCCACCCACAGAGTGGGGATTAGCAGGGACAGGGAGAGACCTTCGGGGTATCAGGGGATCAGAGGGGAATGTGGATAGCATTTCCCCCACCCACTCGGGCCTGGCAAGCCTACTGAGGTCCCAGGCCTGAACCACCGTCCTCCAGGGCCCCCTCTGGCCATGCTGAGCCTAAGCCATGCCCCCCACCCCACCCCCAGGGCCTTTTCTGGCTGCACAGTTCCTGATCCCCAGCCCCGCCCTCCCTTGCCTACCCCCCTGACCCCCACCAAGGACTTTTCAGAGTTTTTTTTTTTTTGGCCGTTGTGGTTCTGGTTTGCCTTCCTTTTGTTGTTTCACTTATATTTTTATGTTTTGTAATACATTTTTTATTTTTCTAATTTTATTGTATTTTTATTCTTTGTTATTGTTCTGCTCCGTTTTGTTTGTTGCCTTTCTTCTTTTTTGCCATGCTGCGCAGCTTGCGGAATCTTGGTTTCCAGGCCAGGGGTTGGGCCTGAGCTTCTGTGATGGGAGCACAGAGTCCAAACCACTAACAGAGAACCTCAGGCCCCAGGGAATACTGATCAGTGTGAAGTCTCCCAGTGGTCTTCATCAGGGCACCGAGACCCCGCTCTACCCAACTGCCTGCAAACTCCAGTGCTGGACGCCTCAGGCTAAACAAGCAGTAAGACAGGAACACAGCCCCACCCATCAAAAAAATGAGACAACAAAAAAATATGTTACAGACGAAGGAGTAAAGATCAAATAAAAGACCAAATAAATGAAGAGGAAATAGGCAACCTGCCTGAAAAAGAATTCAGAGTAATGATAGTAAAGATGATCCAAAACCTTGGAAGCAGAATGGAGGCACAGATTGAGAAAATACAAGAAATGATTAACAAGGACCTAGAAGAATTAAAGAACAAACAAACAGTGAGGAACAGCACAATAACTGAAATGAAAAATACACTAGAAGGAATCAATAGCAGAATAACTGAAGCAGAAGAACAAATAAGTGAGCTGGAAGACAGAATGGTGGAAATAACTGCTGAGGAGCAGAATAAAGAGAAAAGAGTGAAAAGAAATGATGACAGTCTCAGAAACTTCTGGGACAATATTAAACGCACAAACATTTGAATAATAGGGGCCCCAGAAGAAGAATAGAAAGAGAAAGGGTCTGAGAAAATATCTGAAGAGATTATAGTTGAAAACTTCCCTAAC